GTGCAAATAGGGTAGTCACAAGGGCGCTATAACAGCGAGGCAGAAGGCAGCAGCAGGAGCAGGCAGCAGCAGGAGCAGGTAGCAGCTGGAGCAGAAGCAGGAGCAGCAGCAGCAGGAGCGCCAGCAGCAGCATCAGCAGCAGCAGCGGTGCTCACTACTTCAAGAACATCCAAGACCCTCATCGCTCTGCTTTCAGTCCCAAAGGCGGAGACGTCAAGGTGACTTGCTGCTGCTGTTGCTGCTACCTTGTCTACAATCCGTGACTCAGCAGCAGTAGCAGCAGCAGCAGCGGCAGCAGCAGCAGGCCCTTGCCCCTCTTCTGCTTCTGCTGCTGCTCTGTGGAGACCCACCCACAAATGAGCCAGAGTCTGGAGGCAGCCAAGTGCTGCGCGGAGGCAGTGCAGCGAGTCAGCAGCAAGCCAGTTTTCTGCTGCTGCTTCTGCTGCTGCAGGTGCAGCAGCAGCAGCAGCAGATGCTGTTGCTGATGATGATTTGCTAGAGAAAAGAGTCTCCAAGCGCAGCACTTGGGGATGCAGATCGTCTAGTGTCATTGCTGCTGCGTCGATTGCTGCGTCAGTTGCAGCAGCAAGCAGCACCTGCATTCGCTGCTCCGGCTGCTGCTGCTGCTGCTGCTGCTGCGCCCCCTGCTCTTTGGGGGACGTTCCCTGGCCTTCCGGCACAGCAGCAGCAGCAGCGCTTGCTGGTGCTGCTGCGGCTCTGTCAGTGGCTAGCGACGACAAGAAGCCACCAGGCAGCAAAGACGTCCATGTACCACAGGCGTGCTGCTGCTGCCGCTGCTGCTGCGGTTCGGCAGTCTTTGCTGCTGCTGCTGCGTGCTGCTGCTGCTGCTGCTGCTGCTGCTGCTGCTGGTCTTTTAGGCGGTATCTGCTGCCGCTTTCGTCAGAAACAGTCAAATAAGGCGAGCAGCTCAAATTGACAACATGAAGTGCTGCTGCTGCTCCCTGCAGCGCAGCCACTGCGGGGTGTCTGTACACCAGAAGGGGGCGGCAGCAAAAGGGAGCCAAGAAGGGAATCAGTGCTGGCAGCAGCGAGGGCCTCGCAGCTCCAAATAGCCTAAGCAGCACACCACAGCAGCACGGAGACTCATATGCAGCAGCAGCAGCAGCAGCATGGTGGCAGCAGCAGCAGAGTTGGCAGCGGCACATCCTTTAAGCCCCAGCAGCAACGCTGCACCTGCAGCAGCAGCACCACGACAGCAACAACAGCAGCGTCAAAACAGCAGCTGCAAAGGCGCAGTGCCGTCGCAGCAGCAGCAGCAGCAGCAGCAGCAGCGGCAAACGCACAGCGCAGCATCATGTATGGCTCCAATAAAGTCTGCAGGGCGGACGGCCCTTGCTAAGAAGCTGCAGCCGTCGAGAGCGGCAAGAGCTTCTCTTTGCCCCGTCACGTCAGCAGCAGCAACCAAGAGCTCTGCTGCTGCAGCAACTGGATAAGGTATTTGCTGCTGCTGCTGCTGCTGCTGCTGGCTTAGGGGGCCCCCTGAAGGCGACCCCGGGGGTGGCCCCCCTTCAACTGCAGCCCTGAGGCAGCGCCAGCTGACAACTTCGTCTCCAGGACCCATGATGTGCAGACCCTTGAATGAATCCTCTTGCTGCTGCTGCTGCTGCTGCCGCCGCTGCTGCTGCTGCTGCTGC